TGGGTAGGTGGCTGTGGCCTCATCCTCCTCGGCCTCGTAGTACAGCAGGTTGAAGGTCTCCTTGCAGGTGCGCAGCTGCGTGGGCAGAGAGGAGCACTCCATCATGGTAAAGCGCAGCTCCACGTAGACCTGCGACGCCCCCCGCCGCTCGATCATGGTACTGCGCACCCAGTGGCTGCCTGAACTGTCCGTAGGGCAGAACTGATAGGTGCGCACGATGTTGTTGTCCTCGTCCAGCCCGCTCATCTCCTCCCACTGGGGGGGGGTTTAAAAAACACACAAAGAGGAACACACTATTAAAACAAGCCAACAATACAATAAACATTAATTACCAACAATTTGTATTGACATTTATTATAGAGCATTTCAGGGTTAAGGTCCTTGCTTAGGGGCCCAGTGATGACATGATTATTCTGTCATACGTGGGATTCGAACCCACAACCCTATGGACACAAAGCCACGCAGATCTGCAACCTACTACGAAGTTGCACTCCGCCCTGCTGAATGCAAAGTGCTTACAAAGCACACAAAGAGGAATGTGCAATCTTTATATAGTCTATATCATCAACATTTTGTATTTACATTTATTACACAGCAATACGGGCCTTGTTCAGGGCCCTACGGCGATGCAATTGCTCTGCGGGATCTGAACCCACAACCTTCTGGATGTGGGCACAGGTCCCAAACCCGCTGCGCTACACACCACCCTGCTGTAGCATGTACAAAAACACACACGACATTCGGGGGCCCTGCGTAGTCGCCATAGAAACATGGAGCAGAGGCCAGGAGCTCAGAGGAGCGTCAGGTTTCCCCCCGCAGGGTCACAAGCCGGTTTAACTGCGAGAATCGGGGCGTTGGCAGCGGCACAGGGAGGGAGGGAGGGAGGGAGGGAGCGAGCGAGCGAGCAGCCGGTGGAGGGACTCGCCTCGGGTTTGAGGCGCGGGAACACCGTCCACTTGAGGTCGGATGTCTCCAGTTTGGTGTTCATCAGGATCTCTGCAGGACAGAGAAAGCGGGGTGGGGAGGGGGGGGGGAACGAGGTTAGGATCTGCATTCATAATTACAGAGCTCAACAGCAGACAATCAGAAGTTGTGGGGATATATTTTGTTTTTAAACTTAACAATTACTTTCTACATCTGGGTATATTTTACGGTCGATGCATATTCATTACTTCGCTCAAGGGTACGGCGACGGTCATCCCCCCCCCCCGATCTGACAGCCTTATCAGCATCCAAGAACAGGCCAACCTTAACTGCCCAAGCTGCCCGACAGCCCTTTGATGGGGTAGGGAGAGGTGGGCGGGCACAAAGCAGGGGAAAGCAGCTCTGATTGGTGGAAAAGTGTGTCACACAGACAGCATGGGCTGCTACTTAACAAGGCGGGTGATAAGTGTGCGCGAGTGGGGTAAACGTGGGGGCAGCCAGTGGACAGGGTGGGGGTGAGATGGGAGGTAGACTGCCTGGCACAGGTTCCTGTTTGCCTCTTCCCTTCATTTCAGAGAGAGAGAGAGAGAGAGAGAGAGCCCCAGAGGCAAAGCGGGCCACCAACTGTGGGAAAACAGGCGAGATCTAAAATTATCCACAACACACACACACTTATACACACTGAGTGAGCCCCGGTACAGAGGCAGGGGGAAGGTGGGGACAGGAAGAGAGAATACAAGGCAGGCAGGCAGCCATTAAGCCCTGACACACACACACACACATTAAGGAGTGCAAGCACACATGCCAGGAGACCAACATGCACACGGAAACACACACATCGCGTGTCCATGACACAAAAAAAGTGCAGGAGTTCAAAGAGGACACACACACACACACACAGCTTTGATTAAAAATGAATCGGGTTTTTGTTGTTGCCCAGCCCATGGCCCCCAACTCACCCCCCCACCCTCCCAAAATGCCTGC